AATAGAATAGAATAGAATAGAATAGAATAGAATAGAATAGAATAGAACAGAATAGAATTCTTTATTGGCCAAGCATGATTGGACACACAAGGAATGAGTCTCCATGGGGTGCCAGTCAGTGTTCATAAAGAAAACACATCCTGACACCCCCGTTGGCTACAGATGAGGGGAGTTGCCACCTTCAGCCTCCATTTTTTCAGAGGTTGCAAACAGGAGAAAGAATCATCAGCCACTAAAGAAAAAAATCCTTTTGCATCAGAGAGCAGGATTAATCCATGACGGCTGCAGAAAAAAAGATGGGGAAGAAAATTAGAATATAAAGAGACATTTTTAGTGTAAATAACATATTTTTCTTCCCTTTCAGCCCCCCATCCCCAACGTAGGCCCACACTACAGGGGGGTGGTTGACAAGCAGGAACGGATAGAGAGAGAATCTGTCATTTCAGGGAAGAAAAGGCTGGATGCTTCATATGAACAAAGAAGATGGGGCTAGGATGGGAGTGGTAGCAAAGAGGTCACGTGGCCAGAAGGGGGGTCAGGAAGAACAGCCTGTCGAGGTTCCAACTAGTGAACCCAAATGAGTCTCCATGGGGTGCCAAGAAGGATCATCTCGGAACATAAGGGGGGAACTCCAGTTTATGGCAAAGTTTTGGAGGGAGTTCATTAAGTTGATAGGGTCATCATTTTCAAGGACGTAACTCCACCTTCTGAGTACGGACGGAGTACGAACGGACCTGCAGAACGAACTAACGTAATGATAGAACAATACCTGAGATGCTATGTTCATTATCAGAAATCTTATCTGGGAAGATCTTCCAGAATGGGTGGGTTGCTTACAAAATGGGGGGAGGGGGAAATTTAAACCTGGGGGGGGGGGCTCCCTCCCTTCCCTCCTTCCATTCCGTTTTGCAATTTCCCAAAACTTGGAAAAATTGTGCGAAATATTTTATTGTTTGTGTGTTTTTGATTGCAATACTTTTTCAGATCTCTGTAAGGAAAAGCTGCCGAAAATCCAAAAATTTGCCATATCCACAGAAAGGAGATTTTGTTCAGACATGTTTTTTTCAAAGGAACAATTAAGGAATTAAAAACTCACCTATAACTAGTAGGATGGGTTGAGATGGGGGGAAAGAGAAGAAACTCACCTGCTGGAGGTTGGACAGAAATTGCTAGATGGAGAAAAAGAGCCAGT